AACCTTAGTTGTATGGGCCTGCGGTTGCCAGTCCTGGAGCCTGCGGAGGCGATTTATTGGGGAAGTAGAAATATCCCAGGTACCTTTTGACCTAAACATTTAACCCCTGGTGTGCAGGGCAGCTTCACTGGAAGGGGAGGTTTTTTAATTTGCAGATAGTGAGATAAAGGGGGGAAGTGTCTGCTCTGATAGTATGTTTCCAGCAGATCCCTCCTGTGTATGGGTCGCTTTAGTTTCGAAGGCTGCTCCCTCCCTGATTCATGTTCTCTTCTCTTACCTAGGGCGGACATTCCCAAAGAAAGGTCAGAAGGTCTACGTGCATTATGACGGTAAGTTTTTCCTGTTCTGAAGCCGTGTGGCTTTAAAGAGACCCTGTCAAGTCGCTCCAGACTACGAGTTTCCATGCAATAGAAAGGTCGTATAGACTGACTGACAGTCATAATCTGCTTGCTGTGGATAGGGCACATTCTTGTTATTAATCGTTCCCATTGTTCTCCAAGCCGTTGCTTTGAGTGGTTAGATGAAGGCTCGCATGTGTTCACCCTGACTCCATTTTCTAAGTCGCTTATTGTGTATGGAGTGTGCAGCTGCATGCCCGCAACTATTGTGTGATTTCTAATGCCAGTCAGAGGACTGTTGTAAAGATGCACACAGAACTACCTAGGTGTAAGTAAATGCCAGCCCTGGCTGCTAAACCCATCACTGCAGCTACACCAGCAATCTGTTATGCAGTGAAAGCAAATGAATGGAAATTGAATCAAGAGCGCCACCTAGTGGCAGGTTCAGAGGCCGTTTAATATGCGAGATTTCATATTCTAATACTTGCAACCCATAGCGTAATTATTTAATTAGACGGTCACCTTACCGGTCTCTGCCTCCTTCTTACACTCTGCTTACCTGGTCTGCCTCGCTGACAATGCTCGCATCTAGTCAGTTGTTAGGCCAGAGCTGTGTCATGTGACTGAGGGAGGGGCTTCACTTGCATCAGTGGCATGGGAGTGCAGGTAAGGTTAGGGAGCGGAGCCTTTGTAGAGCCCCTGTCGCTTTACCCTGCTTTGTCTCTTTAAGGAAATGGTACAAAACCACTAAACGTACCCTTTAATCCCCTACTTATTCTTAGTCTTTGGACTTGTGGGTACTTGTAATCTTCTATTATAGGGAGGAAAAAATAATCAACTGTGCCCATATTAAATGTTCTTTTCTATAAAGCAGCAGCAGAACACACCCATTGCGGCTCACTGCTGATTGAATTAGTGCACGTTTGTAGTGTGCCCCTTTCTAACGCAGGAAGTTGGGCTGCTTCTGTCTTCCTGGAGTCTGGCTGATTTCCTGTCTCGCTGCTGTTGCCAGAGATTTGATTGTTTACTTTCCAGGTTCTCTGCGACTGCTTATCACTGGCCTTTTGAAGCAGAATGCTGCTTAACATTCACTTTAAGGCCTTTGGTAATTAATGCACCATTTTCGCCCTAGGCCTTTGTTATCTTGTAGTTCAACGCCTACGGTCATGCCCAATTTTATGCCAACCATTAAATAACCAACAGTAAATAATTATATCTTTGTATTCGGCATATGTGTATTTAAAAAAAAACCCCCACTGGTTAATGGGTAGTCCCCCTACAATTGCGGTATTGCTTTAAGTATATTCCTGGTGGT